TACATGGTACAGTTATCAAAATTTTAAGTTTGCATCACTGCTGCAGTAGATGCGCGCTTTAGCTACGTCATTAATGCTGCATTGATGCGTTCTTGTGTTATGCTACAAGAATGATGCATTTATGCATCATTTTGTTGCATGCTACATCGGTAGCACTCAGTTTTTGTATAAATACCAGACTTCTTGCTGCGTTCGGGGACTTCAGATATTTTTTCGGCCTGGGCATCCGTTACTCTAGTAGCTATATTTTAAGAACAATTTAAAGCATTGATTTTTCTTAAAGGTTAGTGTGACTTAACAAAATAGCGAATAGACACTAGACAAAAATTATTGATTGTCATTTTTCTTGGTTTAATAAAAGATTTTATATCTTCAAAGAAATATTTTTGTAAGAGAAATCTTATAATGTTTTTGTAGGTTTCTCATTGATAAGTAATAATAGTTTTTTCTAAATATCTTTAAGTAAACTTGTGCATTTTAAATCATTTATTACATTGTCATATGAGTTTGAGGCTTGTAAGTTCTATATACAGTGAACAGTAAATTATAAGTTATTCATATACTTGCACAAGGGTTTAGCATTTCAGTAAATATAGTGGTTAGCCATAGGTTGGTAGATAATTTATTTAATGAGTGTTACTCAAGTTGTTAAAACATGAAACTTTGTTATTAATTTATGAGCATGTTCTGGTTGCTTTAGATTTAACAGAAAATTAAATTGATTATACTTTATCAAGTGCTTGTCTTTTGTCATTGTGTACGAAAATAGATTTTAATTATTATTTACCCATACTGGTTGAGACCCCCCCCCCCCCTTTATTGAGTACTGAAGTCCATAGCCCATTTGTTTCCCCTTCACCCTGAAGCCTAAGTCCTGTATCCTGACAATATTGCAAGGGACTCTGAGCATTGGGATAACCAGCCTGGTGAACTGAGCAGTATAAGTGGAGCTGATACCAAGGTCGAGCACTCACACATTCAGTCATCCGGACACTACATGGTCTATAGCATATTGTATTTTACAATACCAAGGCCATCCGGACGCTAGGACCGCTAGCGCATCATATATTTTTAATAAGTGGAGCTGGTATCAAGGTCGAGCACTCAGACATCCGGACACTACATTGTCTATAGCATATTGTGTTATACAATACCAAGGCCATCCGGACACCAGGACCGCTAACGCGTAACATTACCTTAACCACAAAGTCAAGCTATGGATGGTTGCACACAAAAATTTTGGCCCTACCCCTTGAAATGTTGTCAGAGTACTGTTATTATACAAATGTGCAACTCCCTTGACTATTCTATAACCCTTTGAGAAAACGTTTTATTGGCTTAGAAGGTGACCACTTGGGTCCAAGAGATATAATTTTTAATTCACATAGCCCTTTTTTTTTAACTGCCGAAAATTGAGAATTGCTGAGCGCTATTTCCATGTGATAGATTTTGGTATGTAGGCCCTACATGTATAAATGTGCCGCATCACGACAAAACCAACATAGTGGGTTTGCGACCAGCATGGATCCAGACCAGCCTGCGCATCCACGCAGTCTGATCAGGATCCATGCTGTTCCCTAACCAACTCTATTTCAAGTGGAGAAACTGACAGCGAACAGCATGGATCCTGATCAGACTGCGCAGTAGTGCAGGCTGGTCTGGATCCATGCTGGTCGCAAACACACTATGTTGGTTTTGTCGTGACGCGACTCAAATGTGTCTTACATTTTGAGTACTTGGTAGAACTACTTAAAGCACATTGATTGGTCAGTAACATTGATAATGTCCATTAATTAAGAACAGGTCATTATCTGATGAAAGTACAAGAATGAAACATGGCCTTTTGATGTAGAAACAATCATAATAAAAAATAGCTACATAAAAAAGCAATTTATAGAGTAACTCTGCTTGTCCTCTGGTCTAGTTGTGGGTCTCATTTATTGACAATAATGACAAAGTTTTAATTATTGCTCCTCCATAGTTGAGTGTTAGAAAGTCACTGCCATTTAATTGTTCATTGACAATGTACTCATTTACCATTAGAGATGTCTTACAAATATCTTAAAACCTGGGATATTGAAGGTATATTGGGCTGGGGAGGGGGTGGGGGTGGAATCACCCCCATTTTGGAACATTCACCTTATCAAAATGTATACATGAATTTGTTTTATCTTTACTTTAATTTCTTGGCCTGTAACAGTAATATTTGTGCCTTAAGGATTAAGTTAAGTTAATCAGCAGTTTTTGTGTCGCCTCTACGGAGTAGTGGCGACATATAGGGATCACTTCTCCTTCGTCTGTCTGTCCGTCTGTCTGTCCGTCCGTCCGTCACAAAACTTGTCCGGACTACTCCTCATAAACTACTGGTGCAATTTCATCCAAACTTTACAGGAATGATCAGTACCAGGTCTAGTTGTGCATATTGTCAGCATTTTCCGGTTCAATGATTTTTGTCAGAGTTATGGCCCTTTAATAATTTTTAATTTTAAAGTTTGTCCGGACTACTTCTCTTATACCACTCATGCAATTTCAATGAAACTTTACAGGATTGATCTGTAGCTCAAGTCCTTGCGCATATTGCACGGGTTTTCCGGTTGAATGATTTTTAGCCGAGTTATGGCCCTTTGATAAAAAGGTTTCTTTTTCTGTGTGTTGCCAAATACACAAAAGCTTGTCCGGACTACTCCTCATAAACTACTGGTGCAATTTCATCCAAACTTTACAGGAATGATCAGTACCAAGTCTAGTTGTGCATATTGTCAGCATTTTCCGGTTCAATGATTTTTGTCAGAGTTATGGCCCTTTAATAATTTTTAATTTTAAAGTTTGTCCGGACTACTTCTCTTATACCACTCATGCAATTTCAATGAAACTTTACAGGATTGATCTGTAGCTCAAGTCCTTGCGCATATTGCACGGGTTTTCCGGTTGAATGATTTTTAGCCGAGTTATGGCCCTTTGATAAAAAGGTGTTTTTTTTCTGTGTGTTGCCAGATACGCAAAAGCTTGTCGGGACTACTCCTCATAAACTACTGGTGCAATTTTATCCAAACTTTACAGGAATGATCAGTACCAAGTCTAGTTGTGCACTGTCCGTCTGTCTGTCCGTCTGTCAGAAAGTTTGTCCCAACATGAAATTGGCCATCATGAGGCGACACATGTGATTACTGATCGCTCTTGTTTAAATGTATTGTTATTAAGAGCTAGGGGGTGTGGATGGTAGATTGCACTTTCCAGTACCATCCATGAACAGGCTCAATCAAATAGAGCCTGCAACATTTTCAATTTTGCTGTTTTGGGCTTTCTTTAAGAATTCTATTTCTCTCTATTGTAGTTCATTTAAAGGAGAATTGAACAAAAGCTCCACCCCAAAACCCACATTAGTAGAATTTTTGTCCACTATGTCAGTCATAAAAAAGCAATGTTCAGAATAATGTTGCTAATGTCCTCTGGTGATTTATATACATTGTACTTGATCTAGTTGTGGGTCTCATTTATTGACTATAATGACAAAGTTTTTTTATTGCTCCTCCATAGTTAAGTGTTAGAAAGTCACTGCCATTTTATTGTTCTTTGACAATGTACTCATTTACCATTAGAGATGTCTTACAAATATTTTAAAACCTGGGATATTGTGGTTGGGGGAGAAATTACCCTGATTTTAGAACATTCACCTTATCAAAGTGCATATGAAATTGTTTTGTTTTCGGTTTAATTTCTTGGTTTTTCAAATATTTGTGCCACAAGGAAGCTTAAGCTTACCAGCAGTTTTAAATAGAGGTTGAGCTATTGGAGTGTAAAACAAAAGCCCCCCACCCCATACATGTGAATTATTTATTTTTATGCCCCCACAATGTGGGAGCATATAGCGTTGCACTTGTCCGTCCGTCCGTCCGTCCGTACGTACGTCCCGAAATCTTGTGAACGCAACTCCTCTTAAACCGGATGGCAGATTTTGCTTAAACTTACAGGGATGAATAACCTTAATGTGTAGATGGTAGTAAAGGAAGGAATTTTTGCTGCGACCAAATTTAACAGAATTATGGCCCTTTGTTGATTTTTTCACTAGATACTATGTAGAAATTTTGTGAACGCAACTCCTCTTAAACCGGATGGCAGATTTTGCTTAAACTTACAGGGATGAACAACCTTAATGTGTAGATGGTAGTAAAGGAAGGAATTTTCGCTGCGACCAAATTTTACAGAATTATGGCCCTTTGTTGATTTTTTCACTAGATACTATGTAGAAATTTTGTGAACGCAACTCCTCTTAAACTGGATGGCAGATTTTGCTTAAACTTACAGGGATGAACAACCTTAATGTGTAGATGGCAGTAAAGGAAGGAATTTTCGCTGCGACCAAATTTTACAGAATTATGGCCCTTTGTTGATTTTTTCACTATATACTATGTAGAAATTTTGTGAACGCAACTCCTCTTAAACCGGATGGCAGATTTTGCTTAAACTTCCAGGGATTAACAACCTTAAGGTGTAGATGGTAGTAAAGGAAGGAATTTTCGCTGCGACCAAATTTTAAAGAATTATGGCCCTTTGTTGATTTTTTCACTTTATACTATGTAGAAATTTTGTGAACGCAACTCCTCTTAAACCGGATGGCAGATTTTGCTTAAACTTCCAGGGATTAACAACCTTAATGTGTAGATCATAGTAAAGGAAGGATATTTTGCTGCGACCAAATTTAACAGAATTATGGCCGTTTGTTGATTTTTAGTTTTCAACTTGTGGCACATGTAGTCCAAAAAATATTTGACCTAGAGTCATAAGATTGACAGAACAGTGGCGTGTGGGGGCATCAGTGTCCTATGGACACATTTCTAGTTTTTAACATGTATGCCACCCCCAAGTAACAGCTTTTGTCCACTATGCCAGTTTTAGATGAGAGGGCTTTTGTCTTTGTCCCATTCTTTAGATGAAAGTTATGAGAAAATCAGTACTACATGATGATGAATGATATTTAAATATGTTTACGTATTTAACAGTACAGAATACAGTAAAAGGCCTGCACATGCTGGAAATCTCCTACTTAGAGCCATTGGTGAAGTAGTAGTGGCTAGATTCTCCGAGGACCATAATTGGTATAGGGCAAGAATTATAGAAGTGACAGAAGAAAAGGTCAAGGTAACAATCGTTTGTATGACTTTAGTTGATTGTACCTTATTTACTAAATTGCTTTGATGGAATGGATATTGACTGAATTATTGCCCCTATTTGTACTCAGAAAATTCTTGTTGCAACATCAGTCTTTAAAACTACTGAAGGTTTTCACTTAAAACTGAGTACATGTAAAGGAAATATTAAAGTTTAATATTTTATTTATATGACATCTTCCAGTTTCCAAAGTTTTGTTTTTTTCAAGTTTTTTGTTTTTATATTGTATATTCTAGTAAGTATATATCCAAGGACCCCATTGGAAATAAGCCTTTGGGCTTTCACTACTTTTTACTTGCTTCCACTTACATTGTCACATTATATTTAACTGGTAAATTGATATCTAGTCATAAGAGTTTCAGATTTTGTTCTTTATTATAATATTTTATTATTTAATGAGCCTCCTTTCATATTATGTTTGACAAACTTCCGAAATATTTTATTATCCCCCGCCGAAAAGGCGGCGGGGATATAGTAATAGTCTCCGTCCTTCCTTCGTCCGTCCGTCCTTCCGTCCGACATTTTTGTCCGGAGCATATCTCAAAAAGTATTTGAGTTATCAACTTGAAACTTCATAGGTGGATAGACCTTATTGAGGAGGAGTGCAGTGCACAAGAATGATAACTGTACCCTGCATAATTTTTAGCTCACCTGAGCATGGATTTTAGGATTGATGATTGTCCGTCGTCCGTCCGTTCACATTTAGTTGTTAACACTCTAGAGGTCACAATTTTGCCTCAATCATCAAACTTGGTCAGGATGCTTATCTAGTTGATAGCTCGGATGAGTTCGAACATGGGTTGTCTCGGATGAAAAAGTAGGTCACCAGAGCTAAAAATAGAAAAACCTTGTTAACACTCTAGTGGTCACATTTTTGCATCAATCATCATCAAACTTGGTCAAGATGCTTGTCTAGGTGATAGCTCGGATGAGTTCGAACATGGGTCATCTTGGATGAAAAAGTAGGTCACCGGAGCTAAAAATAGAAAAACCTTGTTAACAATCTAGCGGTCACATTTTTGCATCAGTCATCATCAAACTTGGTCAAGATGCTTGTCTAGGTGAAAGCTTGGATGAGTTCGAACATGGGTCATCTCGGATGAAAAACTAAGTCACCGGAGCTAAAAATAGAAAAACCTTGTTAACACTCTAGCGGTCACAATTTTGCCTCAATCATCATCAAACTTGGTCAGGATGCTTATCTAGTTGATAGCTCGGATGAGTTCGAACATGGGTTATCTCGGATGAAAAAGTAGGTCACCGGAGCTAAAAATAGAAAAACCTTGTTAACACTCTAGCGGTCACATTTTTGCATCAATCATCATCAAACTTGGTCAAGATGCTTGTCTAGGTGATAGCTCGGATGAGTTCGAACATGGGTCATCTCGGATGAAAAAGTAGGTCACCGGAGCTAAAAATAGAAAAACTTTGTTTACACTCTAGCGGTCACATTTTTGCATCAGTCATCATCAAACTTGGTCAAGATGCTTGTCTAGGTGATAGCTCGGATGAGTTCGAACATGGGTCATCTCGGATGAAAAAGTAGGTCACCGGAGCTAAAAATAGAAAAACCTTGTTAACACTCTAGAGGTCACAATTTTGCCTCAATCATCATCAAACTTGGTCAGGATGCTTATCTAGTTGATAGCTCGGATGAGTTCGAACATGGGTTATCTCGGATGAAAAAGTAGGTCACCAGAGCTAAAAATAGAAAAACCTTGTTAACACTCTAGCGGTCACATTTTTGCATCAATCATCATTAAACTTGGTCAAGATGCTTGTCTAGGTGATAGCTCGGATGAGTTCGAACATGGGTCATCTCGAATGAAAAAGTAGGTCACCGGAGCTAAAAATAGAAAAACCTTGTTAACACTCTAGCGGTCACATTTTTGCATCAGTCATCATCAAACTTGGTCAAGATGCTTGTCTAGGTGAAAGCTTGGATGAGTTCAAACATGGGTCATCTCGGATGAAAAACTAAGTCACCGGAGCTAAAAATAGAAAAACCTTGTTAACACTCTAGCGGTCACAATTTTGCCTCAATCATCATCAAACTTGGTCAGGATGTTTGTCTAGGTGATAGCTCGGATGAGTTCGAACATGGGTTATCTCGGATGAAAAAGTAGGTCACCAGAGCTAAAAATAGAAAAACCTTGTTAACACTCTAGCGGTCACATTTTTGCATCAATCATCATCAAACTTGGTCAAGATGCTTGTCTAGGTGATAGCTCGGATGAGTTCGAACATGGGTCATCTCGAATGAAAAAGTAGGTCACCGGAGCTAAAAATAGAAAAACCTTGTAACACTCTAGCGGTCACATTTTTGCATCAGTCATCATCAAACTTGGTCAAGATGCTTGTCTAGGTGAAAGCTTGGATGAGTTCGAACATGGGTCATCTCGGATGAAAAACTAAGTCACCGGAGCTAAAAATAGAAAAACCTTGTTAACACTCTAGAGGTCACAATTTTGCCTCAATCATCATCAAACTTGGTCAGGATGTTTATCTAGTTGATAGCTCGGATGAGTTTGAACATGGGTCATCTCGGATGAAAAAGTAGGTCACCAGAGCTAAAAATAGAAAAACCTTGTTAACACTCTAGCGGTCACATTTTTGCATCAATCATCATCAAACTTGATCAAGATGCTTGTCTAGGTGATAGCTCTGATGAGTTCGAACATGGGTCATCTCGGATGAAAAACAAGGTCACAGGAGCTAAAAATAGAAAAACCTTGTTAACACTCTAGTGGTCACAATTTTGACTCAATTGTCATCAAACTTGGTCAGGAAACCTGTCTAGGTCATTGCTGGGAATAAATCGAACATGAGACATCTCGGATGAAAAACTAGGTCACAGGAGCTAAAAATAGAAAAATCTTGTTAACACTCTAGTGGCTACTGTTGTGATCCAAATATTCTGTTAATTGGTCTGAAAGTTTGTTTTGACGATTTCTAAGTCAAGATCGAACATGGGTCATCTTGGATGAAAAACTAGGTCACACCGCCCAAATATGGAAAAACCTTAACATTCTAGTGGTCACGTTTTCGACTCAATTATCATCAAACTTGGTCAGGATGCTTGTCTAGGTAATTCCTTGGATGAGTTCGAAATCGCATGTGAAACTAGGTCACCGGAGCTAAAAATAGAAAAATCTTGTTAACACTCTAGTTGCTACTGTTTTGATCCAAGTATCCTGGAAATTGGTCTGAAAGTTTGTTTTGATGATTTCTAGGTCAAGTTTGAATATGTGTCACCTTGGTAAAAAACAAGGTCGCACTGCTCAAATATGGATAATCCTTGTTAACACTGTAGTGGTCACATTTTTGACTCACCTGTCATGAGATTTGGTCAGAATGCTTGTCTTGGTAATTGTTTGGATGAGTTTGATAAGTTAGGTGAGCGATCTAGGGCCATCATGGCCCTCTTGTTTAGTTATTGCCCTTTGTTATTTTTCAAAATTAATTTTTGTCCAGAGCATAACTCAAAAAGCCTATGAGATATCAACATGAAACTTCATAGGTGCATAGATCTCACTCAGGAGGTGTGCAGTGCACAAGAATGATAACTCTACCTTTCTTAATTTTTGAGTTATTGCCCTTTGTTATTTTTCGTACTTAATTTTTCACCTGAGTGGAGCATAACTCAAAAAGTGTTTGAGATATCAACATGAAATGTCATTGGTGGATAGATCTTACTGAGGAAGAATGCTGTGCGCAAGAATGATAACTCTTCAATCTACAATTTTTGAGTTATTGCCCTTTGTTCTTTTTCATACTATTTTGTCCGGAGCTTATCTCAAAAAGTATTTGAGGTATCAACTTGAAACTTCATAGGTGGGTTGATCTCATGGAGGAGTGCAGTGACAAGAATGATAACTCTACCCTGCATAAATTTTGAGTTATTGCCCTTTGTTATTTTTCAAAATTAATTTTTGTCCAGAGCATAACTCAAAAAGCCTTTGAGATATCAACATGAAACTTCACAGGTGCATAGATCTCACTCAGGAGGTGTGCAGTGCACAAGAATGATAACTCTTCCTTTCATAATTTTTGAGTTATTGCCCTTTGTTATTTTTCATACCTAATTTTTCGCCCGAGTGGAGCATAACTCAAAAGTGTTTGAGATGTCAACATGAAATGTCATAGGTGGATAGATCTTATTGAGGAGGAATGTTGTGCACAAGAATGATAACTCATCCCTATACAATTTTTGAGTTATTGCCATTTGTTCTTTTTCATACTATTTTGTCCGGAGCTTATCTCAAAAAGTATTTGAGGTATCAACTTGAAACTTTATAGCTGGATGGATCTCATTGAGGAGGAGTGCAGTGCACAAGAAGGATAACTCTACCCTGCATAATTGTATAGTTATTGCCCTTTGTTATTTTTCAAAATTAATTTTTGTCCAGAGCATAACTCAAAAGTCCTTTGAGATATCAACATGAAACTTCATAGGTGCATAGATCTAACTCAGGAGGTGTGCAGTGCACAAGAATGATAACTCTACCTTTTATAATTTTTGAGTTATTGCCCTTTGTTATTTTTCATACTTAATTTTTCAATTCATTTTTTTCTCAAAAAGTATTTGAGGTATCAACTTGAAACTTCATAGGTGGATAGATTTTACTGAGGAGGGATGCAGCACACAAGAATGATAACCTACCCTGCATTATTTTTCAGTAATTGCCCTTTGTTATTTTCAGCCATCAGTATTCACATAGGTTTCAAATGTATGTAATGTAATGTATGTAATCACTATAGCCATCAGTTTTCATTACCAAAAGACCTCTTAAAATGGAATTATTCTGCTCTACTACATATACATTCTTCCAATGAGCAAACACATTCGGCGGGGGATGGCCATGTTGACATGGCTCTTGTTACAATTGTGTCATCAGTTTTAAGTGTTTGTATTATGTATATGTGTGTTTTAACCTGAATAAATATCTAATAAATATCTATGTCTTTGAGATCATAACCAGGGGTCACTATCTAAGACCCATAATTCTGACATGGATTTTAACTGA